GAAGGCAATTGGTCGCGTGGCCGTCGAGCCAAGCTCCTTTTTCACACTCCCTCGCGTCCTGTCAGATCGCTGCCCACCTTGAGGGCACCAAGAGGAGGCCAAAGGAATGGTGCGATGAACGGAGAGGGGAGGGCAGAAGAGGAGGCCAAAGTGGGGCTGAGGAGGGGCAACATGGGACTAGGCTGAAAAGTAGTTATGCGGAGGAGAGTGGAGGAGGAGGAAGAGGACGAGGAGGAGGGTAGAGGGAGTAAAGAAAGGAGGGCAGGGGGAGTGAGGAGGGATGAAGCAGGAGGGAGGAGAGCTGATGGAGGGAAGTGGGATGGCTGAAGGAAGCGGGGAGCGAGGGACGGACGGATGAGGGAGGGAAGACGGGAGGGAGGAAGGGAGGGGAGAGCAGGGGTTGAAGACAGGAAAATGAACTGAGAACGGGGACGTACACGGGGAGAGGAAGAGGGCCGCGGGGTGTTGGTGTCAGAGGTGAAGGAGGTAGAAGGGGAAGGCAGAAAGGGGCGAGGGTTGGGGAAGTAAGGAACAAGAAGGGGGAGTGGGAAGGGGAGAGCGGGGGAGAGAGCGGGGGGAGAGAGAGAGAGAGAGAGAGAGAGAGAGAGCGAGAGAGAGAGAGGGAGGGAGAGGGAGCGCAGCGGTTCGGACAGCGGGTGTCTGGGCGCGCGGGCTACTAGCGCCCGCTGCGCCCGCCTCCTTGGCGGGAGGGGCCGCATGCAAAGACTGGGGGGTGGCGCGAACGCCCCCCCCCTCCGCGCGGAGCACGTGGGACTACGATTCGGTCGGGCATGCCCCCCTTGCAGGCGGATTTCGGACGAAACATAAAAGTAGACAAACAATATTCAAAACATGTCCCAAAGTACTGACAGCGTCGTCCCCAGACCATTGTTTGACTATGTTTGAACATTCCTCGTGTAGAGGGACAGGCCGGGCTTAAGAAGACCACGACTGGAAAGCGGAGAGGAGCGTGGCGATTCGGCGACTCGGGAGTGACGCTCCCAATCTGCGCGCCCAGAGCGGAGGCAGGTCAAGGTGCAACACGCCTTGGCACGCGTGCCTCCGGGCCCCTGGCGGAGGGGGCGCCGCGGAGGAGCCCCCCCCCACACCGCGACCCAAGGCGTGATCCCGTACATGGACATTATATTCGAAGCATGTGGCACAAGATGCTCCCCAGACCCCCCGAAATTAATATTGATGGCGTGGGCGTGGCGACGGGGGGGGGCGTGAGTGGACATATACATATATATATATATATATATAATATATATATATATATATATATTCGAATCCCAAAGCACCGCCTTTACTGAGATCAACATTGATGTCGGGGGCGCGGGGGTGATTGAGACTCTCCCTCGAATGTGTAAGGGGTCGAATAAATTGTCCATCTACTGTCCGTGGAACGTGTTGGCAGGCCGTCCCACCAGACGCAGAGAAAAGGAGGGCCAGCGGCTGTTGCGCTAGCTGTTAGCGTCGAGTCTCGCCTGGATGACCGCATGGAGGGGGGCTCCGTGGGGAAGAGGCGGTGGAGACGCCAGGTGGGTGGCGCCCCAGGCGGACTGGGTTCGATAATACCGTGCGTGGAGAGGTCCCGTCTGCTCCTGGGCGCGATGCGGCGTTTGCACGAGGCGCGTGGCGCGCTCTTGGAGCGCGGCGATGCTGGCACGGAGATACGACTCACGGGCGGCCTGACGACGGTCCGCCGCAAGGACGTGGGTGAGGGCGCTGCGCCGGTCGGGGGGTGGCCGATTGCCTCTGGGGGAGTCCCCGTTTCCCGGGTGGGAAAGGGGGTTGCTGCCCAGGCCGCCTGTCCCGTGTAGGGGCGGGGTGTGCTCCTGGTGGCAGGACGCCCGGCGGGGGGGTGCTGGGCGTCCGGGGGGACTGGCCAGCGCGGCGGCTTGAGGCGACGACCCTGGTCGCAGGCGACGGTACGCGGCACCTTGCCTCTCCCCCGCGCGGCCTCTCCCGGGGACCAACTGGGGGCAGATCCGGTGGTCGCTCCCGAGAGGGCAACTGGAGGTGGTCCAGGTGCCGAGGCAGCGCAAGCGGCCCCGTGGGGGAAGGGCTCGGGCACAGGGATGGGGTGGGGGCAAGACCCGTCAGGCTCGCGGTGACTAAGAGGGGGCCGGCGAAGCCGAATGAGTCTGCTTCGTCGCCGTCGTACGCGGCCTGCGTGTCGCAGTCGCTACTAGGAGTAAGGGTCGTCCTGGCCGGCTGGCCCAGGTGGTCCGTGCAGAGGAGCGTGTGGGGGTAGCCTCGTCGTCGTCGTTGTCGAGGGCCCCACCGAGACCGAGCGGGTCTTCGTCGTCGCTGTCAAAGTATCCAGGGGGGGTCTGCCCCAGGGGTTGTCGATCAAGGATGGAGGGTCAAGGATCGAGGATCTCGAGGATCGAAAATCGAGGATCGAGGATCGATCGAGGTCGTCGAGATCGTCGGGCCCTGGTGGGCCTGGGGGCCCTGGGGGCCGGGGCCCCAGAGGCCCGGGTGGCCCACGAGCGGCCGCGCCGGTGCAGCTCACTCCTCGCGTGCCCAGCTCGGCGGTCGGGGATAGGAGGCCACATGCGAACCCTACCCCTACCCCCCCACGATTTCTGAGGCGGAGGGTGGGTTCACTTCGCTCGGGAGCTCCCGCGCGAAGCGAACCCCACCCTCACCCTCAGAAATCGTGGGGGGTAGGGGAAGGGTTCGCATGTGGCCTCCCGAGGGAGGTGACGGGCGCGGCGGCGGCGGCGATCGTGGATGGCCACCGCCGCCCGGTGGAGCACGGCCGCACATGTACGGCGCCACTTGGCCGCATCGGTGGCGTCATGCGGCAACTGGTCGAGGCGTGCGACTGCCAACTCGCCTGCGTGACGGTTGAAGGCCTCGGCGATGGGCGTGGTGAGGCCGCCGTTTATCCCTGGTTCGCCGAATTGGCTCTCGACCTCGTCAGCCCGAAGTAGGCCTGGCTCGGCCTGCGCCAGGCGATGGACACTCCGCCGGAGGTCGGCCTGGGCGTCACTGGCGGAGGATGGCCGTCGAGGAGGGCTTCGAATCCATCTGCCACCGATGGATCGTCGATGAAGACGTGCACGGGGCGCTCGGCCATGGCGGCAAGGTGGAGGAGGGCTAGGGTCTCAGCCCGCTGCGCCGACTGCGCCAGGCCGTGGATCATGACCGACCAGTCAGCGAGGGAGAGAGGGAGGGAGGAAGAGAGAAAGAGAGAGAGAGAGAGAAAGAGAGAGAGAGAGAGACAGGAGAGGAGAGATAGCGACAGAGTGTGTGAGATAAAAAAAGAAACAGACACGCACACCCACACGCACACCCACACACACACACACTCACACCCACACCCACACACACACACACCGAGGCGGACACGTCCAGGACGGCGGGGGCTAGCGCCCAGCCGCCCCAGCTCGATGAGGGGCCCGGCGCAGCCCAGCTAAGCACGGGGTCCCCGAGACAGGGCCCCCCCTGGCACCGAGGCGACTGAACAGTGGTAGCGGCATGGTGACTGGGGCGAAACGCCCCGCATCTGCGCGCCGCGTGGTAGACGAGCCGCGTCTCAGCTGGCCAACGTTGGCGAGCTTGCGTCTGCAGCTTGCAGTGCCGCGCGAGGGGGTCAATCTTGGCGCGCACGGGGCGCGAAGAAGAGACAGGTTCGGGGAGACGTGAGACTCGGGTTCGGGGGACTCGGGCTGGACTGACGGGGCCATCCTGAAAATGACGAGACCCAACTGACATTCTACGCGAACTCCCGCTGCAGACATCCACGAAAACTGGATCGCCAGAATCCAGGACGCGCTCTTCAAAAAAAAGGCGGCAGACCCGAGCTCTGGCGCACGGGCATGAGGGGTCAACGCGTGAAGGGCCAATGCCCCAGCATGAGAGGGTCAACGCATGAGGGGCCAGCCAAGCCCCCAGCATGAGGGGTCAGGGCACGAGGGGCCGAAGCCCTGGCATGAGGGGGCATGATGGGTCAACGCATGAAGGGGCGACGCCCCAGCATGTTGGAGACAATTCATGAGGGGCCAGCCAAGGCCCCAGCATGCGGGGTCGACGCGTGAGGGACCAAGGCCACAGCATGGTGTGTCGACGCATGAAGGGCAAGCCCCAACATGAGGGGTCAGAGCATGAGGGAACGAAGCTCTGGCATGAGGGGTCAACGCATGAACACAATGCGTGGTATTGGCAGGACTACCCTCTTCAATAAAGCAAGACTGCGGAAGGCCCACCCCCATACAGCCGTATTAGGGCGCTGCCCTGTAGAGGTAATACACCTCGTGCGAATGCCAAAGAATAACCTGATTCATAAGGCAGGTATGAAGGAGCTGGGAAACCATGTCCAGCCTCCTGAGATGTCCAGTAAGCCACTGCTCGCTCGACATGGCGATTTTCAAGCGGGGGTTGGGAGTTCCCCTGTTTGAAACCGGATAGCCTGTGTCGCCCCAGTGGCGTACCTCCAAAGGGCTCGGGTGAGGTGCTCTTCGGAGATCGATGGTCTCCTTACAAGTGCCCCGTGCGTCCTCACCCGACTACCCAACAGGAGCCCTGCGCACCATTGGCACGGGGAGGACGAGAAGGAGGAGGAGAAGGAGGGAGGGAGGGACGGAGGGAGGAAGGCAGGGAGGAGGAGGAGGGCGGAGGGAGGAGGAGCTAAGAGGAGGAGAGAGAGGGAGGAGGAGGAGGAGGAGGAGGAGGAGGAGGAGGAGGGAGGAGGAGGAGGAGGAGAAGGAGAGGAGGAGGAAGAGGAGGAGGAGAGGAGGAGAGGAGGAGGAGGAGGAGGAGGAGGAGGAGGAGGAGGAGAAGGAAGAGGAGGAAGATGAGGAGGAGGCGGAAGAGGCGGGCCCGGGCCCCTGTCGCTGTCGTCCTCCCACTCTTCGGCCCCTCGCCTTCCTGCCTTCGTCGGCCCCGGCGTCGCGCCGCTGGGCGTCACAGCGCTTACTGGGCCCCCGGGGGAGGGGGGGAGGCTGCATCCAACGGATCCTTTTGCCATCAGGTTCTAGTTCCCAGGAGGAGGCGGAGGAGGCGGAACAGGAGGAGGAGGAGGAGAAGGAGGAGGAGGAGGAGGAGGAGGAGGAGAAGAACGACGACGAGAGAGGAGGAGGGAGGAGGAGGGAGGGAGGAGGAAGCGGAGATGGGGCGCCGGAGGTCTGCAGAGGGAGATCGAGAGCGAAGCCTGGGTCGGAAGGCCGAGGGGCGACAGCGGCTGCGAGGCAGGCGGGTGGACGTGCAGCAAATTTGGATACGTTGGCGCTCCAAGCGCGGCCTGGAGCTGCTGGGACGGCTGTCTGTGCAGCTCTGCCAGCGATGCCCTAGCTAATTGGATGCCCGTGTGCGCGCGCACTCGGGCACGCGCTCCCGAATTTCCTGCATCGCCCGCAGAATACACCCATGCTCGGCGGCGAGCCCGCGGAAGAAGTGAGAAGGGGCGGGCCTTCCTTCTCAAGAAGGCACGAAGTCCCCCGGCGTTCTGAAGAGTGCTCTGAGCCTTCCCCGAAGACGCGAACTTCTGAGGAGCCTGCCCGCCTTCTGAGAAGGCCTTGATGAGTCTGTTTTCCACCACCATCACCATAAGTTGGAGTGGGAGGGAGTCCTCCTTCTCCTCCTCCTCCTCCTCCTCTTCCTCCTCCTCCTCCTCCTCCTCCTCCTCCTCCGCCTCGCCCCGTTGTCCTCCGCCGCTGCCAGGTGCGCCACCACCAGGCCCGGCCAGGGCCACCGCGGACCCTACATTTTGGTCGGGCATGTCCCCCTACAGGGGCATTTTCGGCGACAGATTAAGAATAGTCAAAAAATGCCCTCAAAATTATCAAAATACTCCAAAAATAGTCCCCCCACTATTCTTGGACTATTTTTGAATATTCCTCCTGTACTGGGGCAGGCCCGACTTAACCCTACATAGAACATAGAGACACCTGGCCCCGACCACAAGGGCGCACAGCATCACGCCGGGGCCCATGATGGCCCTGGCTGGGCACGGCGGTGTGCAGTCACAGTTGATAACAAGAGTGCGCGAGAAGGATGCCAGCCCCCTGGACGCGCATGCCGAAGCTCTTCGAGCGGGGCCGGCCATCGAAAGAGGGCAAGGGTGGAGCGATGGGGGCCGGGATGCACGGGTACCCTCGGGAAGGTCACCACTCCCTATCATCGGTCTCGGCTGCACGAGGGCCTTCTGCAGGGCCTCCACTCTCTCGGCGCTGAGGGCCTCACCGTGGGAGGCACACGCTGGACACGCGGACTCACCGGCAGCGTGCGCTGCGCGCTCCAACGCTACACTTAGGTCGGGCATGTCCCCCTACAGGCGGATCTTGCACGAACATAGTTAAACAAAACACACTCAAAAACAACTCGAACATAGTCAAAAAAACAATCCCAAGACTATTGTAGTTTTGAATATTCCTCCTGTAGAGGGACACGCCCGACTTAACGCTACACTCCAGACTTGTGTCAAATCTGTAGGTTGGCCCTCTCTCTCACAGTCAGGCTATCATCCGAGGCTATCTGGGCTCCCAAGGACATCCGAAGCTGCACGAGGAACTCCGAGCCTACCTCCAGCTGCGGCGGACGTCGGGGCAAAGGCGGTGCCCCCAAAGCTCCACGTGGCTGGCTCCAGAAACCCTGGGCCCCCATAAAACAACCTCCGTTAAGGGGTCTACAGCCAGACACATACGATTAGGAAAATCATGTCTTAAGAAACCTGGGCTAGTTATCCAGAAGTTTCTTCAAGCAGACCTGGGCCGCTGGTGCTTGTTCACGCTGGAGGGCCGAACGTGCTTCTGCCAGCGGTTTTTGTTCACGCTTCGGGCCAGCCTTCTGGCAGAGCGGTCCAGAAACGCTGGCCCGGCTTTTTGTCGGCAGGAGGCGTCTGAATCAGATGCTCGACTGGACCCTGTATTTCGTCGGCCGTCTGCCAGCGTTAGGCCGGGCGTGTCCTCCTACAGGGGGGTCCTTGGACGGACAATGAAACATTCAAGAATACACAGTAAACATTCAATCCATCATCCAAAAATCATCCCCAGACTGTTTTTTTTTGCACACTCCTTCTGTAGAGGGACACGCCCGACTTCATCCCTGCGGGACCTCCCCCCTGCGACGTCCGCCAGCTGCCGCCGCCCGCCCCCGGGCCCTGGGCGAGGCGCCGGCCCGATCCGACCCCTGCCAGCGGCGAGGCCCTCGCCTGAGCTGGCCGCGCACCTCTGCATAGGCGCCCCCGCTGCCAGCGTAGGGACGGAGCGGGCCGCGCAGCTGCACGTGGGCTATGTTGCCCCTTATCGTACTTGAGGACCACATCCCAGAAATCAATTCGAGCACCCAGTAAAGTGTCGGCCGAGTGTCCACCAGGGCCCGACGCGAGAAACCCTAGAGTTTATGGGTGCTTTCTTGGTGTCGAAATTCTTTCTGGTGGTCAAGGCTAAAGTAGGTTGGGACATCATAACACTTGGGTGGGGTATGTCCTCCTGCAGGCGGATTTCTGACGACATATTCAAGGTAGTCAAACAAATATTCAAACACGGTCACAAATAAAAGAAAAATCGTCCCCCTTATTATTTTCTGACTATTTTTGAATATTCCGCCTGTCGAGGGACAGGCCCAACTTGAAGCTGCACGCACCGTGCTGGCAGCGGGGAGGTCAGCGGTGGGCGTCGGGCCAACCTCGCCATCGCTCGAGCGTCCCGCCCCCGTGCGTTTTCCAGTGTCGTGCGTGTAAATGCTCGCCAGATGACGCAGGATGCTCCTCGATGGCCCCCGCCCAACAACAAAAAACGCACGCGCCCGAGCGATGCCAAAGAACGGAAGGGCCCTGGCAGCCCGGGGCGCCAGGGGCCACGCGCGGGCCGCGGACTCACCGCGGCGGCGCCACCGTGGGGACCAGCGTGGGCGGCGGCTGCACCCGCACGCCGTGGGGCGCCGCCCGGCCGGGAGGGGATGAGCGCCTGCGCGCCGCGGCGCAGCCCGCCTGCGCCTCGACGGCGAGAGGGGAGCCCGGCTGCGCCGCGGCCCAGCTGCCGCACAGCAGCCACGGGGCAGGCAGCACCGCGGCCGAGGGTGTGGTGGTCCCCGACGCGGAGGCCCTCGAGCCGCCGGCATTCGGCGTGCCCGCTCCCGAGAAGGACGGCGCCGGGCTCGCCAGCCTGGCCATCGGGGGCGCCGCGCGCCCGGGCAGCGGCGAGACCACGCGCACCCAGGCGGTGCCCGAGCAGGGCACCGGCCCCGGGGAGAGCGCGCGGATCTGCACCACCTGCGCTGGCGCGGCCCGCGCTGGGGACCTCGCGCCCTGACGGAAGCTGGGCTGGGACTGCACGACCGGCACGGTGCCGACGGGCGCGGGTGTCAGGCAGCGCGGCCCCGCCGAGGAGCAGCCTGGCGCGGCCCTCACGACCACGGTCTTCCTCGCAACCTTCCAGGTGCACGGCTGCGGCGACCCAGCTCCTGCGACCACCATGCCTGGAGGTGGGGAGGCGGGATACACGCTGCCGGGGGGGAAGGACCTCGTGCGCAGCGCCGCGGTGGAGCCAGCCGCGCGGATGATCACTGGCGACCGCGCGCGGCTCACGGGAAGCTCTGGGGAGTGGTAGCCGAGCGCGGGGCGCGACGGAGAGCGCGAGGCTCCTGCGCGGCCGCGGGGCCATTCGCTCCAAGGGCGCGCGGCTGCCTCCGAGGGGACCCTCGGGACGTCCCCGGCCTGAGCGCCGCCGCAGCCGCCAGAGACAGGCGCCTGCGAGGAGGGCCTTGGCGCGGGCGCGAACGCACCCGCCGAGCCGCAGAGGCCCTGCGGTGATCGCGCTCCGCGGCGTGACCCCGTGAGAGCGTCGGTGGCGGCAGTGGTGGCGACGCTGCTGCTGGCAAAGCGCGATGAGGCGACGCTGGCCGACTTGGTGGAAGCCCAGGTGTTCGTCCTCGGCACCGCCACGCCCGAGTCCGCCAAGCTGTCGGCCGCGGACCGGTAGCTCGCGCCCAGGTCGCGCGTGTGCGCCGCGGGTCGGGCGGCTGTCGCGCGGGCCACCCGCGGCTCCACGGGCCGTGTGGCGGGTTCCTCGACCGCGCTGGCGGCCGCACTGGACAGCGGTCCCGTCGGATCATGCTGAGGGTCCGCGCCGAGCGCCGCCGCGGCAGCGGCGCCCTTCTTTAAGTTCGCCGCCGCGTACGTGGGAGGCGGGGCGCCTCTGCGCGAGGCGGCCCGAGCGGGCGTCGCCACGCGGAGCATCGCCGCGGTCGGCTGATGCGCGGGGCGCACGGTCACCTTGCGGGGGGCGGCCGGCTTCTGGCGCTCCTCGTGCTTCGCAACGCGCGGCTTCGGCTGCGTCTCCCGGTGGCGGCGCGCCGACGACCGCAGCTGGTCCTCGGCGGGCTCCCCATCGCCGAGGCAGTCCCACAGGCAGGCACGCCCCTGCTGCCTCCGCTCGCTGGCCTTTGCGGGCCGGCCCCTCCACCATCGCTGCAGGGTGGAGCAGGCGCTCTGGGCTGCCAGCGCCCCCCTCGCCTCCTCGCCTGCCGCGGCGGCCGCCCCACTGCCAGCGCCCCGCTCCTCGATCGCATCCGCCGCCGCCGCGGCCTTCGCCTCGGAGGCCGTTGGGCCGCGGCGTGGCTGCGCCTGCCGGGCCTCCTGCTCAAGGCGCTGGGCGGCCTCCTGGCGCGCCGCGGCCAGCATCTGGACGGCCTGGCGGTGCACCCAGGCCTCCTCGGCGGCCTTTCGCTCCGCCTCCGCGCGGTGCCGCGCCGCCTCCGCGGCCTCGCGCTCCGCGGCGGCGGCGGCGGCCTCCGCGACCGCCTGCTCGAGGGCCAGGCGCTGCCTCTCCGCCTCGGCCAGGGCCGTCGCCTCCTCCGCCAGGCGCTCCTGGCGCTCCCGCTCGAGGCGCAGCTCCTCCTCGGCCCGGGCGGCCTCCGCGGCCGCGGCGGCCTCCGCGCGCAGCTGGCGGAGAAGCCCGCGCGCGGCGACGCGACGCGCGAGGCACTGGATGGCGATCGCGCTGTAGGTCAGGACTTCCAAGCGGTGCCTCACGGCCCAGCCTCGGACCAATGCGCAGATGGCCGTGGAGGCGACCCGCTGCCTGGTGAGCTCCAGCCACTCCAGCGCCGTCTGGCGCAGGAAGACCTTCGAGTGGCCGATGTGCAGCTCGTCCTCCGGGACCCCGCCCTCGCGGATCGCCGCATCGCAGATCACCTCGCAGGCCGCAAGGGCGTCCTCCGGCTCGAGGGCGGCGGAACGCACCGCGCGGCGGGCATCGCGGGAGCCGAGCAGGTCGGCGTACCTCGCCGCGAATGCCTCCATGGGCCTGCGGTGCGGGAAGCCTTGCCGCCGGATGCGCGTGGCCTCCAGCAGCCCGCTGTAGCGGCACTGCCTCAGCATGGAGCCGTCGTCGAACACGAGCGGCGACTGGCTGTCGTTCGGCCGCAGGCAGCGCACGTGGCGGCACTGGCGCGTCTCAAGCGCGGTGCAGAGCTCGTTGAGCTCCTGCTGGAAACTGGAGATGATCGTCTTCCCGAAGAGCTTCCGGCGGGGCTGCGGTGCGTAGCCGGTGGAGCTCGAGGACGCCCCGCCGTCCGCCGCCGCTTCGGCGCTGCCAGCGAACACCCCGCGCACGAACGGGCAGCCGCTGCCGCGCAAGAAGGCCACGATGTCCGGCCTGTGCGCGCTGGCGTTCTTGCGGACGAACTGGGCGGCCTCGTAGATCACCTCTCCCGCGAAGTGCCTCACCCCGAAGGCCCTGGAGGCCCCCTTCCCGGCGCCGCAGAAGGCCGGGTGGCCGCCGTGGGATGTCGCGACCGTCTCGGCCAGGGGGCAGCCGCCCCTGCCGTCGGCGCCACTGCTCACGGACTCCTCGAAGCTGCAGCGGGAGCGGTCGTTGACGATGCCGAACACGCCCATGCCGCCGCCGGGCTCGCCCTCTAGGAGCGCCAGGGCCGGGAGCCTGCAGGCGGCCGTCAGGCACGCCATGCGCCCGTCGGCGTCGATGCCCTCGGCGACGTACTCCTCGGCCTCGCGGGCGAAGACCTGGCGGTTGAAGAGCTGCTGCAGGCGCTCGTTGCAGTAGTTGATCAGCAGCTGCTCGAAGCCATTGACGGCGAAGACCTGGAGGAACGACAGGAGATGCGCCACCGTGCCCCTCGGCACGGGATGGGCGTGTCCTCTAGTCCTTTGCTGAACCCTCAAAGCCTCAAGTCCTCAGGCCTGAAGGGTTGTGCAAGGGCCCGGAGCCGAAATTGCCAAATCTCCTGGGGCGTCCCGCGGTTCCTGGGCACCGCCGCGGCTTCCCGCGTGAACTGTTCGGGCCCAGGAGGGCCCAAAGACGGGTCAAGTGGGCCCCAAGAGGCCCCCGAAGACGGTCCAAGATCGCCGAACAATCACTCCAAGACGCTCAAGATGACCTCCAAACGGCCCAAGAGGCTTCCAAGACGCCCCAAGAGGCTTCCAAAAGGCCTCCCAAGAGGGCCCCAAGAGGCCAAAACCATTGATATTTGTTCGGTGTCTGACGGTTTTTCGCTTTCTCGCCTTTCGGCTTCTCGACGCTCCCAGACGCTCCCAGACGGCCCTGGAGGCCCACAATGTCGCCCCGAGACTGCCCAAGAGGCCTCCAAGAGGACACCAACACGGCCTAAGAGGACCCCGAGACTGCCCAAGAGGCGCCCAAGACGGCCCAAGAGGCCCCAAAGACGGCTCTAAGAGGGAGTCCAGGTAGAGGACCCGAACGGACATTTAGAGCCCTCGGCCCGGGCCCCAAGAGGCCCCCAAGATGCCCCTAAGAGGTCCCAAAAGGCCCCCAAGAGGCCCAAAAGGACCCCCAAGAAGCCCCCAAGAAGCTACCACGAGGAAAACTGCCCCCATGCGGCCAGAGACCCCAAGAAGCATCCCTGATGACCCTGACCCACAACCCAGGCACGGTGGCGGGATGGGCCGAAAGCCATTCGACCTGCTTGGCATGGGGACGGAAAGCTCGTTTATGTTGAGAGGGCTCGAGGTCGCTGGCTTAGTCTCTTGGAGCCCTGTTGGTGTTAATGCTTCGGAGCTAATGCTTCGGAAATCGATGCATATTGCACCTCCGGGCCTTCCTGGGGGTCCTTTTGGAGTTCTTTTGGGCCGTCTTGGGGCCATTTTGGGCAGTCACGGCACCCTCGTGGACCGTCTTGGCGCCCTTGGGCCGTCTTGGGGCCCTCTGGGGGCCCTCCTGGGTCCCCTTGGGGACCTCCTGTGGTCCTCGTGGGGCTCTCTTGGGAACCTTTGGGGACCCTCAGGGGCCTCTCTTGGTCCGTCTTGGGGCTCTCTTGAGCCGTCTTGAAGCCCACTTTGGCCGTCTTGGGGGCTCTGGGGCCGTCTTGGGGAGCTCTTGGGGGCCTCCTGGGTCGTTCTGGACGCTGTGGATAACAAACAAGCGAATATGCTGACACGTACGTTTTCCTAAAGGAATTGGACACTTTGTGCCTCTTGGGGGTCCCGTTTGGGGGCTTTGGGGGGCGTCTTGAAGGCCTTTTGGGCAGTCTTGAAGCCACATTGGGCCCTCTTGGATCGATCTTGGGCCGTCTTCGGGCCTTCTTGGACCTCTCCGACGCCGTCTTGTAAGTAGATTGGGCGCTTTTGGGGCTGTCTTGGGCCGTCCTGGGGGCCTCTCAGGCGCTCTTGGTGACGTTGGGCCGTCTTGGGCCGAACATTGCCACAATCAGGGCAAATAGATCTGGGGGTCGGGCTGCCCCCCACCCCACCCCCCTGTCATCTCTCCCGTCTAACGGATCGCGAAGCTACGCGCGCTTTCCGTCATCCGCCGCCCCCTGTTGGCTTGTCACAGGGGTGCCTTGCGTCCTAGATCCGACCGCTTTGGCTTTGATTCTTTTTCGAAAACTCTCCCTGAGGCTTCGGCCGATCCCGCCGGCCACCCGGAAGGCGCCCAAAGGAGCACAACTTCCACAACAAATTCTCCACGACGGTTCACGAAAGCCTCCAAGAGGGCCCAGATGGCCCAAGATGGCCTTCAAGCTCGCCCAAGATGGTCCGAGATGGCCTTCAAGACGACCCAAGAGGGTTCAAGATGGCCTCCAAGACGGCCCAGGGGCGTCCAAGACTCCTGGAAAAGCTCTCAAACGGCCTCTAAAGAAGGGCCCGAGAAGCCAAAATCAGTGATTCACCTTTGGTTGTTGAAGGATTTTACCGTTTTCGCCTTTTCGGCTTTCCACTGCTCCAGTACGGCCCCCCCAGAGGCCCCCAAGAACGCCACAAGAGTGGCCCAAGACGGCTCAAGAGGCCTCCGACAACGCCCCAAGACGGCCCAAAAGAGCTCCAAGACGGCCGCAGAGGCCCCCAAGACGGCCCGAGAGGTCCCCAAGACGGCGCCAAGAGGGGCCCAAGAGGAGGATCACGAACTGAACATTCGAGCCGCCCGCCCCAAGAGAACCGCAGGAGGCCCCAACAGGCCCTCAAGAGGCCCCAAGAGGCCCTCAGGAGGCCCCCAGGAGGCCCGACTGAGGCTTCAAGAGGGCCCAAAACGACCCCCGGAGGTTTCAAGACTGGCTCCCAGCTCTGAGGCGCCCTTCTCCTTTTCCTCCAACGAATGTTTCCCGAAGGGTATCCCAGCCAACTCGGTATCCAAACCAAGTCGGCGGCCAAACTCTAGCCATCATATTCAGCCACGTATGCGTAATAGCTCCCAAGAAGCCCCAAGAGTGCACCAAGAGGGTCCCACCTCCTCTTACCCCTTCTGTCCCACCTCCTCCTCCCTCCCTTGATCGATTCCCCAAATGTCCCCCAAACAGCTTCCATAACGGCTGGGAGAACACATACTCGGATGGCTTGGCCAACCTGGGGTCCAACATTTGGCCACAGGGGCGCTTCCCCAACGGACACATCATCCGATAGCGTGGCTAATCTGGGGCCCAGCGTTTGGCCACAGAGGCTATTCCGAAGAAGGCAAGACGCCCCAAGAAGCACCCAAAACGTTTCCTTCACCTTTTTGTGTTCCTTATGTTTCGTCTCATCCTCTTTCTCCTGTTCCTCCACCTGTTCCCCTCGATCCTCCCATTGTTTGTACAACGGTCGGGGGAGCACGCGACACAATACATTGGCCAGACGGTGGCTCGTTCTTTGACCACTCAACCGTCGCCAGAAGGGAAGGGGCTGGCTCTCGTCAAAAAGTGTTCCTCGAAGTCTATTGGCGCTGCTTCGGGGAACGTGGTGACGAATTCCGATTGGTTTCTGTGGGCTCATCCTTTTGAACAATTAGCCGGGCGAAGGACCCAACCATATGCAGCTGTGAGTACTGCAAATATGAAAATCGTTTTCGATGGCGCTACCTCTGGGTAGGGGAAACGCATGCGAACACCCCCATTGGGGCCTTCGGTGGAGTTCCCTATGGGGCTACGAAACGCTGCCCTGGGTGGGGGAACCGCAAGGGGGCACCCCCACTGGGGCCTAGTGGGGGAACCGCACGCGGGCACCCCCACTGGGGCCTTCGGTGGAGCTCCCTATGGGGCTACGAAGCGCTGCCGTGGGTGGGGGAACCGCATGCGGGCACCCCCACTGGGGCATTCGGTGGAGTCTCTATAGGGCTGCGAAGTGCTGCCCTGGGTGGGGGAACCGCATGCGGGCACCCCCACTGGGGCCTTCGGTGGAGCTCCCTATGGGGCCACGAAGCGCTGCCCTGGCTGGGAAAACTGCATGCGGGCACCCCCACTGGGGCCTTCGGTGGAGCTCCCTGTATGGGGCTACGAGACGCTGCCCTGGGCGGGGGAACCGCATGCGGGCACCCCCACTGGTGCCTACGGTGAAGCTCCCTTTGGGGCCACGAAGCGCTGCCCTGTGTGGGGGAACCGCATGCGGGCACCCCCACTGGGGCCTTCGGTGGAGCTCCCTATGGGGCTACGAAGCGCTGCCCTGGCTAGGAAAACTGCATGCGGGCACCCCCACTAGGGCTTTCGGTGGAGCTCCCTATGGGGCTACGAAGCGCTGCCCTGATTGGGGGAACCGCACGCGGGCACCCCCACTGGGGCCTTCGGTGGGGCTCCCTATGGGGCTACGAGACGCTGCCCTGTGTGGGGGAACCGCAAGCGGGCACCCCCACTGGGGCCTACGGTGGAGCTCCCTATGGGGCCACGAAGCGCTGCCCTGGTGGGGGAACCGCAAGCGGGCACCCCCACTGGGGCCTTCGGTGGAGCTCCCTATGGGGCCACGAAGCGCTGCCCTGGGTGGGGGAACCGCACGCGGGCACCCCCCTCTGGGGCCCTCGGTGGGGCTCCCTATGGGGCTACGAAGCGCTGCCCTGGGTGGGGGAACCGCATGCGGGCACCCCCGCTGGGGCCTCATTACGGTGGAGCTCCCTATGGGGCTACGAAGCGCTGCCCTGGGTGGGGGAACCGCATAAGGGCAGGAGGAGGGGGGGGAGAATGGGGGGAGGAGGAAGGAAGGAAGGACGGACGGAAGGAAGGAAGGAAGGAGACGCGGGGCACTGTCTCTTCAAACCGAGGACCCAATACCACAGGATGGTTGGGAATCAAAAGCCTGGTGCCACATTCGCGCACATGCCTCGTGACAACACAAGCCACGCTGAGACCAGAGAAATCGGGCGCAATCGATGTTGTCTTCGTTCTCGTTCATGCCACAGGGCTCACCGCGCCCGCGCACATGGCGATCCTGCCGGATATGGCCCAGCCTCATTGCAGGCGCGTGCGAGGAGCATGGCCGCGCGCCACCGATATACCTCACGTCGCGCAGTGACAACAGCAATATTGATCGAGTTGCCTGCGCGCGCGCTGGGAAGTGCCACGCGCCGCTACTATACTTCACGTCATGCAGAAAAGGAAGAAATCTTGATCCAGTTGATTGCTTGCGCGCGCTAGGCATGGCCCTGCGCGACTGGTGCACTCAAAGTAACACGTGTTCGAGTTACAGGCTGCGCCAAACCAAAACACGATTGGCCGAATGGAGCTCGCCAGCGTGCATTCCCAGCGTCTCCGATTGACGAAGTGTTTTGGCTAGCGCCGGGCATGGCCCTGCACCGCTAGCGCAATAACATGCGACTGCGCGTTGAAGAAAAAATCTTGGCGACCACGCGAGCTGCAGCTGTCGTTGCCGCGACGCAGGACACAGCG